CTATCAGTGCAGAATATGAGCCGGCCGAGTAATATATGCACTATAGTATTCTACTGATTTTTATATGTTATGCATGTAATTTCATTTACAGAACACCTGTTAGCTATGTCTGACATACGTATCCTTTACTTAAATACAAAATATAGGTAGGTAGCTTATATCAAGTCACTGCAACCAATAATCACAAACTGAGAAATTATTTGATTGAAACTAATGCAAATGATATGTTCCTCAGTGGTGTGATTAACTATTTGCTTAAAAGAACCAGGGTAAACCTCATGAAAAAAAAAAAAACAAGCTTGAAATGAGAGACAGTGCCCCAGTGCTGGGATCAGCCTGCAGAGATTACATCATGGGTCTCAAAGGAAGCTCTGTAGGTATTACAAGTGTAATCACATTTTCCTGTTTGTTCATTCTTATCAGACTTTTTTCCTTTCCCTAGCCCCTGTAAAAGCACCTATACAAACATCCAAAGGATACCTAAACAGCTGCAAAAATACAGAGATGTTTATCAAAGTGTGAATTTTTGTCCATCAACAGATATAAACTGCACAAACCTAAGCTCAGTAATTACTGAGAACTCTTGGAAGTTAGCTGTAATTAACTAAGCAGGGAAAAATTTTTACATGTAAATTATTTTTCAAAATATGCAAAATATTTTTCAAATTAAAAATGGAAAAAACTATTGTTTGTGCTTTTTAATACAGTTTTTCTCCTCTTCATACAGAAAAAAACAACTAACAAATCAGCTTCCCAAAATGAAGATGCTTTTAGCAATGCTTAAAAAGTAACTGTTCAGATATCTGTAAGTGGAGACACTCAGAGGCTCAGGAGAGAATTCATGCACATTTTACGTGAAGGCATTAATTACACATATAGATAAGCATAGACAGGTTTCTCTCACATTTAAATAGAGGTAATAATGAATTTAAATTAGAAGACCACAGTGTTTATGTAAGGCTGACAGAGGATTCACGTGGTACTTGCTCCTATGCTACTTTAGTTAAAGAGGTGTTTTGCCACAATTCATTCAGGGACACAAATGAGCTCTCAGAAAAGTGGAAAAATGTTGGTGCTGCTTAATTAATTAAGACAGCCAATCTGTCAGAGAGGATATTGGTAAGGACAAAAACATATATGAAAAATCATGTATGAAAAAATCACAAGCAGTTTTTCAAAGCAAATAAATGTGCTAAAGTGTACCTTTCTGGTGGGGTTTTTTTTGGTTTTTTTTTTTTTTCCCCTTCCCAGTCTTTTATGTTGATTTGACTCTTGCAACATTTCCTTTGGAAAAACACACCATTTGCATGGCTGGTCTATTTTCTGGGCTCTGTGTCCACTTTGGCCTTGCAGTTGCTGTTCTATTTCTGATAGAACGCACACCATGGCAGCTACAGCTGCCATGCAGTATTACATGAAAAGCACACTCCCACTTGCCTTCTGTGTGCCAAGTCACTTCTGTGACTGAAACTCCTCTTTTTCCATCTGCAGCACACATGAGGTTTATAGATGGCAATTATCTAACAATAGATGGCAATTATCTAACAAGAGTCTTCCTCAGGAATGCCAGATACGTAATTTGGAGTTTGGGTTCCACTTACTGATCAGTTTCATCCAGTCTCTAGGCTGGTTCTTGTATTTTCAGGTTTGCCTGTTAATGAAAACACCACACTTACAATTCCAAGTTAGTACCAAGCCAGGGCTGTGTAAAATCTTGCTCTGGAAAAAGCTGGCACAGGTACACCTAGATTTGAATTTGCTTTGCCTGAAAAAGCAGCCTATCTCTGAAATGTGCTGCTTTGTCATATTTTGCCAGATATGAGCTGATAGTTACTGAGAAGTAACAATTACAACTAGAAAATCTGCATCTAAGCAGCAGTAAGATTTTCATTATCTGTGCCTGGTTTTAAAACAGCTGCTGCAGGAGGTTTATGTGAAGCGCTAGGACATCACTCTAAACTCTACTGGTGAAATGGATCCAAAAGCCAAACCACAGTGGCTTTTCTAAAAAGCAAAATCCTGCAACATCCTAAAAAGGGGCATTGATGAATATGCATTTTCTCATACACATACAGATATGATAGAAAAGTATTTGTCTACAGGAAAATACAATAAGCAGAACAATTTGAGTATTCTGATGTACTACTCCATTGGTCTTCCTCTACACAACTTCATATTTTCACACTCATACGCTATGTGAATGCCATTACTGTTGCTTAAAGTGGTTGTCTCTGAATAATTAACTTGCTGATACACTATATAACCCAAGATGAACATTTATTCAGGTCAATATAGTATGTTTCCATCATCACGTCACAAAACGCCATGTTAAATTTCAGGAAGAGGGCAAAATGGTCTGAACTAGAAATGTATCAAATTGAAAAATGCAGTAGAAAATACACAGGTTTTCTGAAAATTCATTGGTACTATAGTAATAATTATAGTAAAATTTGTATTTGCATCAGTGTCCTACACTCAAAACAAAGAAACAGGTTTTTTAAAAGTCAACAGAAAGACAATCACCCTTTGGTTAAACGATTAAGCTCTGCACAGCACTTAAATGGTGTGGCATAGAAACTGCATACTTTCGAATTCTCGAGAAAACTAATGCAACAGTTTCTGAGCAAATCTGTCAGGATGTACAAATAGTAAAGGTAGGAAAAGGAATTTCCATCAAAGTTCACAGCTAGAATGACTGGGTTGAAGGGTGGCCAGACTGCTGTAAACAAGGAACAAGATTTGCCAGGAAGAAAAGATACTGATCCTCAATGGTCTAACTAACATAATGCTTCAGACTCAAAGACATGTTGTGGAGAGGCTGAGTATGAAAGTGTCACATCAATTTGTTTCTGAAAGGAAGATTTGCTGTGTGCACTGAGGGCTCATGAAAAGGGACTGAAATACCACATCTACTTACACCCATTAAATACACAAAATTAGGGGGGAAGAACTGAACACTTCTTTTCCAGTTGCAGCCTGAAGTAAAGCAAGCGAAAAACCTATGCCTCTATGTAATGGTACTGTTCTAAAATTGAAAAGAGGAAGTGAACAATTACAGGCAACTACAGAAAAGCTTTTTAGCCATTTTGGAAAGCAGAAAACATATGAAAAGAACAGTATCTCTTACTATTAAAATTATTACCTCAAGGTAATTGTTCACAAATATTTTGGCATCTGCTTAAGAGAAAAAGAAAAAAAAAAGGTATACTGATCCAACAGTAATTTCTTAATTTTAAAGTCACATATATATACTGACTCTTAAAGATGGGTGTCCTGCGTTCCGCAGTAGCAGTCATGTTTCTCCTTCGTGGTAGCTGGTGCAGTGCTGTGTTTTGACTTCTAGCCTGGGAACAGTGTTGGTGATACTGATGTTTTTGGTTGGTTGTTGCTAAGTGATGTTTACCCTGACCAAGGACTTTGTGAGGCTCATGCTCTGCCAGGGAGGAGGGGAAGCCGGGAGGAAGCAGACGGGGCGTCTGAACCAGGATAGCCAAAGAGGTATTCCATACCACAGCACATCATGCCCGGGGTGGGGGGTAACTGGGAGTTACCCAGAAGGACACGGGCTTCCGGGTGGGACTTGTTTCTTGGCCGGTGGCATTGTATTCTCTTCCCTTGTTATTTTCTCTTATCATTGTTGTCGTTGGTAGTAGCGGTGGTGATTTGTGTTGTACATTGGTTGCTGGACTGTTCTTGTCTCAACCCGTGGGAGTTGCACTCTTTCGATCCTCCTCCTCGTTCCTTCGGGAGCAGGGAAGGGGAGAGCCCCGGTGCGGGGGCAGGGGGCCTCAATTGCTGTCAGATTGGCACCACTCACTGGGAGTGAATGAACAAGCTGTCTGGCTAGGGTTTAAACCACAACAGTTCTTTTTGGTGCTCAACGTGAGGCACGAGGGGTTGAGATAACGACAGACCTGACTGGATTAATAGTCACTCGTCACAACGCTGATTTATTGCCTCTCAAGGTTGTTCCTCTTGATCTCACAGTTTCAGTATATCATATCTTACTTCCCTCCGGTATTTGCTGTATTAGTGTTTTTCAAGTGTGGGGCTTGGGCTAAGGTTTTTGTCTCATTGTACTTTATGGTAATGACTTGTAATACAATAGAATCATTGATCATGAAACTGATCTGGCTTATGTTCCCAATGTGGTCACCATCTTTACACTTTGGGAGGTATATAATAGAAGTGCTTAGCAATTACACGTCTGTTTTCTCCTTCTCAGGTGGTCAACCTGTGAAGGAGACATCCTTTTACCCTCCCAGTCCTCCCCCCAGACCATTTACATTTAGAGTTTTGAAGTTTTTGAATGGCCTTTTAATGCTGTTGAGACTTGTTTGCTGATCATGATGGGAATCACCATGCTAGCATGCATACAGAGTGTGTTTTGCCCATGACTTAATTCAAGAGTTAAGCAGAGTCAGGTTTGGGTCTTGTCTGGGGTCAGGAGACGATGTAGGAAGACCAAGAGAATTTCCCTGAGGCTGGACAGCCATGAGTGGCAGGGTGTGTGGGATAGTATGGGCAAGTATCTAGGTCAGTGGGCCCCTCCAGTACTTTGGAATTTCACTACCGAACAACTGCAAAATCCAGAAGAATTAATAAAACACTTAAATGAGGTGTGTGGTCATTCTGGCCATACCAGAGAGGGACAAATCATGGAAACGTGCTGGGGCTTGGCCTATGCTTACAGGGCCTTGTTCAACACTATCCAGCACCTTCAAAAGGAAAAGAATATTGGCGGATCTGAGGGCAAAGCAACATTCAGCGCAGCTACTCCAGCTCCAAGCACAGCCGCTACACCACCCCCAGCAACAAGTACAGTCGCTACTCAAACTTTGGCTGCAATGAGCAGCGCAGCTACCCCATTAGCAAGTACAGCAGCTGCTCAAACTTTGACTGCAACAGACAGCGTGGTTACCCCAGCTCCAAGCACAGCAGCTACACCACCCCCAGCAACAAGTACAGTTGCTACTCAAATCACAGTGATAATCACTGCAGCCAAACCAGAGGACCAATTCATACCAATATCAGTTGCCCCTGTACGCAAGAGAAAAAGCAAAAAAAGAGGCAAGAAGGGTGAAACAAGATGAAGAACCAATGAATTCACCACCCGGTCCAGAATCTGATCAGGAGTCATCATCACATGATGAAGAAGAAGAAGAGGTAACTTCTCGACCTCGGACCTCAACCGAGCTACGGAATATGCAAAAAGATTTTACCCGTCAACCAGGGGAGCCCATCATCACCTGGTTACTCCGATGCTGGGACAATGGGGCCGATGGTCATGAACTAGAAGGTACAGAAGCCAAGCAGTTGGGATCACTTGCTAGAGAAGGGGGAATTGACAAAGCAATTGCAAGAGAGAAAACGTCCCTCAGCCTTTGGAGGTGGCTCTTGGCAGCTGTGAAAGAAAGGTTTCCATACAAGGACGATGTTACGAGTCGTTCGGCCAACTGGACTACTATAGACAAAGGCATCCAGTCTGTGAGGGAATCGGCCATTGTAGAGATGATCTATCACATCAAGCCGAATAACGGGGATACACCCATAGATCCAGATGAAGTTGAATGTACACGACCCATGTGGCGAAAACTTACACGGAATGCACCGTCATCATATGCCCATTCATTGGCAACAGTAACCTGGAATGACATAGTACCACTAACAGTGGATGAAGTGGTTCATCAACTGCTAGAGTTCGAAGACAATCTCACCCCTTCCATCATCTCAGCTCTGGAAAAACTGTCCCAGGACCTCAAACAATTGAGGGACAATCCATCTGATTTATCCAGCTCCTCACGTGTACCAACACACGTATCAGCTATTAACAAAAGGCGTCCTATTGTTCGAGAGAGGAGATACAGGAGGTATACGCCATGGGCTACCCTATGGTTTCACCTGCGGGATCACGGAGAAGACATGACAAAGTGGGATGCAAAACCTTCAGCTTTGGAGGAACGGGTGAGTGAACTGAAGAGGGGAGCAAGGGCCAAGACTGATCATCCCATGAGAGCTACGGCTTCAGTCTCTGGTGAGCAGTTTCCCAGATGGAGTGGAAGAGCTGATTTTACTCCAGCTCCTGTGATAACGAAGAATAATCCCTTTTACCATGACTTAAGTGTCCAACGCTGTGATGACCATTAGAGGGGCCCTGCCTTCAGCCAGGTGGAGGTAGGGGACAATCGGATTTACTGGACTGTGTGGATCAGATGGCCTGGCACATCAGTCCCACAGAAGTATAAGGCTCTAGTAGATACCGGTGCACAGTATACCCTGATGCCATCAAGCTGTCAAGGGGTGGAACCCATCTATATTTCAGGAGTGACAGGAGGATCCCAAGAGTTGACTGTGCTGGAGGCTGAAATCAGCCTGACTGGGAGGGAATGGCAAAAGCACCCAGTTGCTGAGGTGAGTAGATTGAGAGAGGACGCCTGCAACACCAGAGTTGAGCAGGGAGAGGTCAGCGTCCAAGAGCCTCAACTCAGAGCGACAAAAGCCATTTGAGGAGGAAGCCTCAAGTCCTCGACAGGACTTGCCCAGGAGCGGGCAGCTCAGCTCTCGCGAGCAGCTGACTCACCGGGGGCGGAGCCAGGAGGCTCGGCGGCAGCTGTGAGCGGTTAAAAACCTGCCCCGGGAGCGCGAGCGACCAGGAGCGCATTGAGGCAGTTTGCGCGGCAGTTCACGCGGGCAGGTGAGTGGGGCGACCGCCTGATCAAGAGGACTCGACTGGAGCGCAGGAGGAGGAAGGACTGCTTGCTTGTGCAAAGAGACGTAGACGGACTGATGGACCAGATAGATCATGGTCACCACTCGATCAAAACCTGTAGTTAGGAATAACGTGGGTACCCAGACTGAGCCTTCCTGCAGACATGCGGCCGTGCAGGTCTCTGGCTGCAGTGAATGCCTGAGCCTGGCACTTGTATCGGAGAGAGCCAGTGACACTGCTTGTGTGCGGTGTCAGCAAGGAGATGACCTGCTAAAGCAGGTGGTTGAACTGAGGGAGGAGGTAGAAAGGTTGAGAGCTATCAGAGAGTGTGAAAGTGAAATTGATTGGTGGAGCCACGCCCTAAAGCAAGGGCAGAGGGAAGTGGTTGAACAAGTGATAGATCCTCTTCTCTCCTACCATCAGACAGAAGGAGTAAACTTAAGGGACAAGGAAGTATGGAGGGAGGTCCCTCCTTGGAGAGGTAAGCGAAAACCCTCACAATCCCTTCCTTCCTCCCAGTTGCCCTTGAGTAACAGGTATGAGGTCTTGGAACTACAGGGCCAGGTAAATGGAGATGGAGGGGTAGATCCATCCAGTAAGTCACCTAGGGCTTGTCACTCACCCCCATGCCTTAGAACTTCCTCAACCAAGAAGAAAAGAAGAGTAATTGTGGTGGGTGACTCCCTTCTGAGGGGAACAGAAGGGCCCATTTGTCAACCTGATCCATCCCACAGGGAAGTCTGTTGCCTACCTGGGGCTCAGATTGGAGATGCTAAAAGGAACCTCTCTGATCTGGTGCAGCCCTCTGACTACTATCTGCTGCTGTTTTTTTCAGGTTGGCAGTGATGAAATTATTACAAGGAGGGCAAGGGCAATGAAGAGAGACTTCAAGGCCCTGGGACAGCTGGTTAGAGGGTCTGGAGGGCAAGTGGTGTTTGCCTCCATACCTGTTACAAGCAAAGGTGAAGAGATAAATAGGAAGAGACTGCAGATCAATGTATGGCTACAGGACTAGTGCCAAAGGCAGGGGTTTGGGTTTTTCAATCATAGGCTGCTATATGAGACACCTGGTTTGCTGGTGGCAGGTGGGATACATCAGTCCCAGAGGGGGAGAAAGTTTCTGGGGCAGGAGTTAGCAGGGCTCATTGACAGGGCTTTAAACTAGGTGGGGAAGGGGAGGTAACTGGGCCTGTTGGGGACAAGCCCAAGAGAAACATGCTAGGGCTTGAAGAATGGCAGACTAGGGAGAACTCTCAATCTATTGTTTCATTTGAGGGAAAGGGTAGTTGTTTAAACCCTGTCCTGCAGGGGAAAAAGGGTACCAGGGCAAGAGTTAGTAGAGCTCACTCACAGAGCTCTAGGTTAGATTTGAAGTGCGAGGGGGTTGTAGCTGGGTTTGAACTCGTGGGGCAATGTTCTAGTATGAATGAAGACCAGAAGGCCTCCTGCCTTCCAAGGGTGCCGCTAGTGTGCTCAGCTCGCTCCCTGAAATGCCTGTACACCAGTGCATGCAGCATGGGGAATAAACAGGAGGAGTTAGAAGTCTGTGTGCAGTCTAAAGGTTATGACCTGGTGGCAATTACAGAGACATGGTGGGACAGCTCACATGACTGGAATGTGGTCGTGGATGGCTGTGTCCTTTTTAGGAAAGATAGGTCAGCAAAGCGAGGTGGTGGAGTTGCTCTTTATGTGAAAGAGCGACTAGAATGTATTGAGTTCTGTCCAGAGGCAGATGAGGACCAAGTGGAAAGTCTGTGGGTGCGAATTAGGGGACAGGCTGCTACGGGTAGCACAGTTGTGGGGGTCGATTATAGACCTCCTGATCAGGACGAAGGAGTTGATGAGGCTATCTACAGGCAATTGAAAGCAGCCTCATGACTACATGCCTTGGTCCTTATGGGGGATTTTAACTACCCTGATATTTGCTGGAAGACTTACACAGCCAGTCATTCACAGTCTAGGAGGTTCCTCCAGTGCATTGATGATAAATTCTTAATGCAAATGGTGGACGAACCAACTAGGAGAGGAGCGCTGCTGGATCTGGTACTCACCAACAGGGAGGGTCTGGTTGAAGTAGTGACGGTCAATGGCAGCCTGGGCTGCAGTGACCATGAGATGGTGGAGTTTAGGATCTTCTGTGGGAGGAATAGAATACCTAGCAAGGCCACATTTCTGGATTTCCAAAGGGCAAACTTTGGCCTCTTCAATCAATTGCTAAGGGAAGTATCATGGCAAAGGGTACTAGGTGGTAGAGGGGCTCAAGATAGTTGGTCAGCATTCAAGAACCACTTCTTCAAAGCTCAGGATCAGAGTGTCCCAATGAGTAGGAAGTCAACTAGGGGAGCCAGGAGACCAGCATGGTTAAATAAGGAACTGCTGGGCAAACTCGTATGGAAAAAGAGAATCTATGGATTATGGAAGGAGGAGCTGGCCACTTGGGAGGAATATAGGACAGCTGTTAGAGGATGTAGGGAAGCAATTAGGACAGCTAAGGCCTCCTTGGAACTTAATCTGGCAAGTCGGGTCAAGGACAATAGACAGGGCTTCTTCAAATACATAGCGAATAAAACTAACACAAGAAGCAATGTAGGCCCACTGCTGAATGAGGTGGGTGCCCTGGAGACAGAGGATATAAAGAAGGCAGAGGTGCTGAATGCCTTCTTTGCCTCTGTCTTTACTCCTGCAGACTCTCCCCGGGGGACCCAGATTCCTATAGCCCCGGAGTCAGGATAAAGGAGGAGTTTGCTTTGGTAGATGAGGATTGGGTTAGGGATCAATTAAGTAATCTGGACATCTATAAATCAATGGGTCCTGATGGAATACACCCGCAGGTGTTGAGGGAGCTGGCGGAGGTCATTGCTGAGTCACTCTCCATCATCTTTGGTAAGTCTTGGGAAACACGTGAGGTGCCTGAGGATTGGAGGATGGCAAATGTCACGCTGGTCTATAAGAAGGGCAAGAAGGAGAACCCAGGTAATTATAGACTGGTCAGCCTTACCTCCATCCCTGGAAAGGTAATGGAACAACTTATTCTTGACACCATCTCTAGACATACCAAGGATGAGGGGGTCATTAAGAGCGGCCAACATGGCTTTACCAAGGGGAAGTCATGTTTGACCAACCTTATAGCCTTCTATGAGCAAGTAACTAGGTGGATGGATGATGGTGGAGCAGTAGATGTGTTTTTTCTTGATTTCAGTAAGGCATTTGATACTGTCTCCCACAGCATCCTCATAGATAAGCTAAGGAAGTGTGGGCTTGATGATCAGGTAGTGAGGTGGATCAAGAACTGGTTGGAAAGAAGAAGGCAGACAGTTATAGTCAATGGGGCAGAATCTAGCTGGAGGTCTGTGACTAGTGGAGTCCCTCAGGAGTCGGTGCTGGGACCAGTGCTGTTTAATATTTTCATCAACGACCTGGATGAGGGAACTGAATGTACCCTCAGCAAGTTTGCTGATGATACTAAACTGGGAGGAGTGGCTGACACAACAGAGGTCTGTGTTGCCATTCAGCAAGACCTGGACAGGCTGGAGAGTTGGGCGGAGAGGAACTTGATGAAATTCAACAAGGGCAAGTGTAGAGTCTTGCATCTGGGGAAGAACAACCCCATCTACCAGTACAGGTTGGGGGCTGACCTGCGGGACAGTAGTGAAGGGGAAAGGGACCTGGGGGTCCTGGTAGTTAGGAGGATGTCCATGAGCCAGCAATGTGCCCTTGTGGCCAAGAAGGCCAGTGGCATCCTAGGGTGCGTTAGAAAGGGTGTGGTTAGTAGGTCAAGAGAGGTTCTCCTCCCCCTCTACTCTGCCTTGGTGAGGCCGCATCTGGAATATTATGTCCAGTTCTGGGCCCCACAGTTCAAGAAGGACAGGGAATTGCTTGAAAGAGTCCAGCGCAGAGCTACAAAGATGATTAAGGGAATGGAACATCTCCCTTATGAGGAGAGGCTGAGGGAGCTGGGACTCTTTAGCTT